TTTTTCTGGGAGGCTTTTTGTCAGAAAAATTTGGATATAAAAATATTTCGCAGTTGCGACTTGAGCCTGCTCTATGCCCCTAGTTGGGGGCGGCAAGGCAAGAGATATTGTAAAAAGAGTAAACTGCAGTATGGCAGTTGAAAATGTCAAGGTGTTCACAATCAGACCAATCTGTCTGAACTCCCTACATACAGTATATATATATTTAAAATTTTGTGGCTGACAAAGAGTTAAATGGGAGACTAGTATAGCTATTTCAAGCTCTTTAGCTCTCATCAGCTAGTCTTACCCTACTGGGATTTGAACCTGGGCAGCTTGCATGTTAGGCAGCTGTATTAGCTGTATTAGTCTCCCATTTAACTCTTTGTCAGCCACAACATTTTGAATTTACAGCGTTCACAGTAGTGATTTCTGCCTGCAAATGATGCTCCTAGACTGGAGTGAAACGCTTTACATTTATATATAATTTCATCAATACTTTTTCAAATATATAGTTTTAACAATTTTCTTAACTTTCAAATTTATCCAATCTGTGGTATTTTACGTTTTTATTCCCCATAAGGGTTTAATTCACCACTTCCGTCTATAGAAGGGTGAGGCAATCCCTCCCCCTTCTCACTTTGGGAGGCTTTTTGCTTCTTGGGGAAGTTTTCCAGGAAATCAAATATAAAAAGGAGAGAGAAGATCAAATTCCTCACCCATTTTCAAGTGGACAAGTGTCTTTTATATAGTTAACAAACTGAGATTAGGAGCACTCCCTTTAAGAGAGTGCTCCTAATCTCAGCTTGTTACCTGTATAAAAGACACCTGGGAGCCAGAAATCTTGCTGATTGATAGGGGATCAAATACCTATTTCACTCATTAAAATGCAAATCAATTTATAACTTTTTGAAATGCAGTTTTTTGTTATTCTGTCTCTTACTGTTAAAATAAATCTACCGTTAAAATTATAGACTGATCATTTCTTTATCAGTGAGCAAAGAAATCAGCAGGGGATCAAATAATTTTTTCCCTCACTGTAACATGTTTGATCATAAAGCATTTTTAGAAGTCATCCTTTATTAGCTTTTTATTTAAACCAGATATCATGGATAATAGCCCATGTTTCTTGCCAGTACAGGATATGAACCCAGATAATTGCAGTTTATTCACTTCCTTTTAGGTAATGAATCAAGGCATAGCATGTGTGAACAAACCATAATAGGGCTCTGCAAAAATAAGTATATATCTTTTCTATCAACCACATGTACATTTATTTTATTGTAGTTGGCTGATGTAAGTATCAAAGACCTGAAAAAGCAATTTGAGCAAGAAATAAAGATTATGGCAAGGTAAGTAGTATGTGTTGTTAAAATATTGTTGCAATATATATAGTGTATCTGGAATAAATTGCTAGGGTTTTTTTAAATTTCATGTTAGAATTAAAGTTGAAATATTAGTAGAAAATATATAGAAATATTAGATATTTCTTCTAGTTGCATATTATGAAATTTAAGAAGGTGCATTAGAAACTATGGGAATGTTAATCACTGATAATATTATTGCATATATTGGTGGTGGCTATTGCTCCAGGTTCGTGCGCTGGATGATGTTAGTGATACAGAGGAAAAGGTGAAGGAGCAACATTGATAAGGTAGAAATTAATTGCTACTGGAAAAGATAGAGATTATTGAAATTATGTCAAAAAGACAAAGAAAAGCTAATAAAGCAGAAACAATGGGAAGAACAAAGAATCTTGCGCAAGCAAAAATGTAAAGAAAAACACTTGAAGAGAGAAATGGAATGCCAATCTCAGCTGGAATCAAACAGTGAAGGAAGTGTTAGGAAACATATGCGTAGGGATATTGTTCCTAGTGTACTTGGCTTATAATAGATTGAAGTTTTGACAATTTAGTGGAGTTAAAGGATTTCAAAAAACTTCATAAGCAAATTCAGAAGTGTTATGCAGAAAATCGTAAAGCACTTCATCCTGTTCAGTTTTACTTGACCAGTCACGGAAGCCAACTGAAGGACAACATGAATGAAACAGACAAGGGATGGATAAATTGGAAGGATATTAATATTAAATCAGCTCATTATAGTGATTTGGTGAAAAAGGAAGATCTTGTTTACCTTACCTCAGAGTCTCCAGATATCTTGAGTGAATTAAATGAATGAAAAGCCTATGTTATTGGAGGCTTGGTTGATCACAATCAACACAAGAGAATTGCACACAAAAGAGCAAAAGAACAAGATATAAGCCGTGCACAGCTCCCCCTAGGAAACTTTGTGAAATTTTAGTAGTTTAGGAAACATATTGATATAGCAATCAAAATAGTTCAGTTCTAATTCTAAAAGTCCTTTTTAATTTTCATTTACTTTAATATCACTAGTACAACTATACACAGAATGGCCATCTCTTTTGGGAAAGGGACTAGCATTGTGCAGGGCCGTAGCTTTTAGAATTTTTAGTTTTTTAAAAAACACAAGCTAGCTGAAGGAAACTTTAGTTTCAATTCTAACATGAGAGGAAATTTCTCTAGAAATGAACATGATTTATGTTCATGACTTCTTCAGAAATCATCTATTTTGCTGATCTGAACTGTTCATTTGCAAAAACATATTTCCCAATTATTTTTATGTACATATTCTTGATGCTTAAGAAGCTTTCTTTGAATAATTACTGTGACCTATTCTAAATTTATGAACTAAGAAGTAGGTTCCACTAATTGGAATGAAATTTACTGTTTTTAAACCTTTGAAGTTACTTGGAATGTTTCAGGTCATTCATGTATTGAAATAAATATTTATTTTTGATTTTATATATACAAATATCCTTGAGATTCCAATTTTAGCATTTTTTTTTAAAAAACCAACACTGTATTATTTTAGTTAGTTAGTTAGACCAGTGATTGCCCTGACTCAGGCCAGATAGGACAGGTAACATTCATATCTTTACAACCATCATACAAGATTTTAAAATAAATTGCTCTCAGAAGTGGGATGCCCAAAGTAGAAGCAAGATTCAGCTTTTATTTCTCCCCTTCGAATCTCATCACCCCACCTCATGGTGGATACTGGTAGAGTTGAAAACTTGAGTATTATGTCTAATTTGATGTTCAGTAGTCAAAACATTGATTATCTGATTTTTGGAAAGGAATATTTCTATCCATAGAAATTAACACAGAATATTTTGTGTAGAAAATATTAAGCTATGAAATTTACTGTCTTTAGGACCGCTGTAGTGCTTCTAGCTTATGAACAGTTCCGGGGGGGGGGGGGAGAGGGGAGAGTTGGGATTCACAGGTGCTCCTTATCAATGTGAGAGCCGAAGCCACTAAGGAGATGTTATGGTGGACTGAAGTTTCTTCTCATAACAATTGCTGGAAGATTAATTGGACAATGTGACCTGAACTGTCAGAGAGGGGAGGAAAAGTTTTACTCTTTTTTTAAAAAAAATATTTTATTAATTTTTTACAATAACAATCTTTAGTGCTTCATGAACAGTATGTTGTCTGGGTTCATATATTTAAAACAATGATAATTAATTTCTACAATTAATCAATATGTTGGTAATATATTTCTTAATCCTCTCTTCTTGCAGTAATATTCTCCTTTTGTCTACATTAAACAAATATAATTCTTAATATTTTCAGTATATACCAAGTTGAATATAAACATTTTTAGTATTTATGCATATAATAATAACATCAACATATAACATGTTTTTAATCAGCTTGTTGTCATGGTTCCGATAGATGAAACCCATTAAAGAACTTCAAGGCAAGAATTCTTCCTTAAAGAACATTTTATTCAGGAAACAAAGTATTGGCACTACATAGTTGAATCCAAAACTAGATTCCCTTCCCCCAGATACAAAGTAACAAGTTGCAAGTCCCACCCCCACTAAGCAGTCATAATTCACATTCTCCAATTAGCCTGGAGCGTGGGCTCTTTTCCCAGCTCCTCAGCCCACCAAAACATTATCGGTTTGTGTCCTTGAGTTCCCACGGAGCTACATTATTATTATGGCTAGCTGAGCTCAAGCATTCACCCCATCCCCCCTTCAACACCTGATCTCTAAACAGAGGAAAAAGCATGTTAAAAGCAAAGGGAAAATGGCTGCAATTTCCATCACTTGTCAGAGCAGGAACAGCCATTGTTACAGCATTGACATCTGGCCCCCCTTTACAAAAAGGATAAATCCGTGAGAGGTAAAGCAATTTTGGCAAATGAGGGGATGAATGGTCGGTAAAAGTTGGCAATCCTCAGAAAGCTTTGAAGCTGTTTGCGAGTCTTTGGGGTTTGCCACTAGATTACAGCTTTTACTTTTCCAGGACACCACAACAAGAGAATAATTATGGAAGCCATCGAAATAGAAAAACACCCCCACAACATGAATAAATGTTACGATACCTCCCACCTACCAGACATCTGGAAACTAGCCCTAATCAACAAACGAGTCCTAGCCACGAAAACTGACACCGGACCCAGAACACAGTACGCCACCACCATTCACCCTCACCAGACCCAAACCCAAGCCCAAACCCATCCCTCAGACGAAATGCAACCACCATCCAGAAGCCAAACCACAACGACATCACCAGCTGCTGCACCTCCCTCCAACCCCCACACAAAGCAAACAGACACACGCCATGAACACAGAGCTAGACCACAAACTCGGAGCCAAACCAAAGCCCGGTATGCTACATCACAGCCTTCTGCTCTGGACACCACATCACAGAACTCAGGAGGTTACAATGCTAAAGCTCAGGATGTTACAACACAGCCAACCACCCAGGATGTTGCAACATAAAACTCAGGATATCACTATACTAGATCTCAGGATGTAATCACAAAACCCATTACCCAGGTCGTTATAACACAAAAGACTAATGGGCACACAGCCAGCACCTCAAGTACTCAGGATGTTACGAAACAGCTGAACATTCCACAAACAATAACAGCCAACCAATCCACACAGCCAACCAATCCACCTACAACAACTAAGCCAGCACTCCACCCACCTCCACCAGTATTTATAGAGAGACGGCAGCTCCGATCACACTTTGCTCGCACAGGCACGAAGCCGAAGACCCCAGCCTGAAGATGACGAGTGGGACCTCGTCGAAACGTCGCCAAGATACTCTCAATCTTACATGGGAAAAGACCCAAATACGACAAGACCTACATATATATATATATGTATGTATGTATGTATGTATGTATGTATGTATGTATGTAGGTCTTTGGTTATTCGGGTTTTCTCCTACGTAAAATTGGAATTGTCTTGGTGACGTTTCGACAAAGTCCCATTCGTCATCTTCAGGCTGGTGTTTTCAGCTTCATGCTTCTAGGAGTAATGTGTGATCACAGCTGTTTCTTCCTTTTAACTGCCAGTGGGGTTTGAACTGATTGGGTGGGAGCTTGGCTATGTTCTGATTGGGTGGAGGTGTGTTCTGATTGGTTAAGGAGCTTGGCTGTGCTCTGATTGGATGGGGGGTTGGCTGTGCTCTGATTGGATGGGGGAGTGTTCTGTTTAGGTGGGGTTTTGTTGTGCTCAGGTTAGTCTGAGTTGCAGGGGGATTTGAGATGGTGAGCTTCGTTGCTGTTGTTTGGCTTCGTGTTCGTGGTCATGCCACATCTTTATGGTGGGTGTCAGTTTGCTTCATGTATGGATTGGAGGGGTTTAAAGTGGCTAGTGATGCAGCTGTGGACTGGATTCTAGTTTGTGGTCGTGCCTCATCATCTGTGTGGGTTTGGGTTTGCTTTTTGCGTGGATGTGTGGTGGTGACATCCTGTGTGGTTTTCGTGAGTGTGGGTCTGGTGTCATTCTTTGTGTTAGGAACTCGTTTGCCAATAAGGGCGGGTTTCCAAATGGCTGGTAGGCGGGAGGTATCATCTCGTTTATTCATGCTGTGTGGGCATTTTTCTATCTCGATGGCTTCTCTGATTATTCTGTTGTTAAAGTGTTCAGTTTTAGCGATAGTTCTGGTCTTTTTAAAGTCAATTTTATGTCCTGTGGCTTTAAGGTGTTGGACCAGGGAAGAAGTTGATTCCTCTTTTCTGACTGAGTTCTTGTGTTCTTCAATGCGTGCATTTATTCTTCTGTTGGTTTGTCCGATGTATGTGGTGGGGCAGGCAGTGCATGGGATTTCATATACTCCTTGATTTTCTAACTCAATTTTGTCTTTGGGGTTTCTTAGGATGGTGGATATTTTTCGGTTTGTGCAGAATGCTGTCTTGATGTTGTGTTTGTGGAGGATCTTGCTGATTCTGTCTGTGGTGCCTTTTATGTATGGGAGGAGGCCTTTGCCGTTTTCTTGTTGTTCTCTGTCTTGGATTTTAGGGG